GGGACTGCATCTCCCAACGTTGTTTCATTGCCTTTTTGATTAGATCGCTAGATCAAATGTTTGTAGTGTGCCCCCGTAAGAAAACCACCTACTTAGGTTTTGGTGCCTGAGCGGTATTCCAGCTCTTACACATATCGAATGACGAAGTGTGGTGCATATATTTTGGTGCCTCGTTGTGTGTTTAAATAAATAAATATAAAAATAGTTTACGATTTAACAGTAGTGTGACTATTGATATGTATATTATGGAAGATATTTATATTTTGAAAGCTTTACATACATTGGTGAGACTGAATTTAAAGTCCGAACAAAATGTTGACAACTCTGATCATAGATTTATTGGTTCCCAAAAGTTTGTTGATTCACTTAAATTATTAGCAGCACCATTATATTATTGTTAGCCCAAGAGAGCGAATAGATTTGTAACTGTCGCAGTATGAACTTCAAGTGTAGCTACAACGTTTTGTCTAATAGCATTGTAAATACTTCATTTCATACAAAAAAACAAAAGTCAAAGCTTGAACACAGTCACTAAACCAATAGATGATGACAAGGTTTGTCTTTTACATGATAACATCACCATCCTGTTAAATCGGTTACCACCCTTTTTTCAATATAAATTGTTAAAAAGGGAATATGGAAATCAAACGAAAGTAGAGGACGAACAACTGACATCACATCATATAAAAATCCATTAGGTAAGGTAGTACAATTCCACTGTTAGTTAGCAGCGGAAATGAAGTGTGTTTGTGATATGGAACTGATAGCTCATGAAACGCTACTTTTTAATTACCACGAAAGCAGATCAAAGAAAATAATCAGTATTGTTTTGTATAAAGTAGGATATCAGCTATACATAATATGTCAACACACACTTAGGTTAGGTCATGATGTCAAGGCCATCAGAAACTAGCGCAGTTTCTCTTTTTATACGTGTTACAACTCGATAAAACTACTAATTGATTGTGTTTTATTTTACTGATTTGAATTTCAACTTTTTCGAGTCAAATCAACTCCCTAATGCAGCTATCTTCTAGCCATACATCGTGTTTAAGAATACCATTTTCGTATTGACTAGTGGGCTACTTTCAAATAACTGTACGAGTATATTGCCTACTCCTGACCGTAGCTGATACCTTAATGTGGTAGTTGGGCTTGGCTATCGTAATGAATCAATCGAGCTATACTGGCTGGAACAATCGTTTCTCAATGTCCTACAATGACAGACAGGTCGGTTGAAGAGTGGTAAGACTAAAAGCAGCAAACCTAAGGTCCGAGGGCGAAGTCATACTACTTAATGTACAGAGGTGTGACGATAATAAGCTGTTTCCTTCAGACAACCAGCATAACAAACGATTCCGCCTTCCCACAAGGGAGGGTGGAGTTAGAAAATGTCAACATGCACACCTCACCCTATCCCAAGGATATCGGTCTCCAGCGGTAAGGTCTCAACAAGTACGGAGCTAACACGAAGATTATTCACAAAAACGACGTGTGTCACTGACATTAAGCAGTTGTACCTTGAGTATTGTGGTCAGGCTCCCAGACCAATTCTAACCTGATTTTTCCCTACTCCCTCCAGAAGAACCTTTCCACGGTGTAGTCAACCGGTAAGTGATAACTCCCTTCATACCGCTAACAGCACTCAAGATCACTCCATTCATAATCAATTTCCCTCTTTAATTCCTATCATTCCTCCTAACTCGACTTTCAACTCTAAACTTCCTCTTTTAACTCCCTCCTCAAATGTCACTGAGCTCGAAATACTGTCCCACATCTAAAGAACCTCGGCTCAAAACGACACATTGGAAACTTCAATGTACGTCTGATGCAACTGTGCTCAGACAATCGTTCATTTTTAGCAAACACTGATTTTAAACATAAGGAGAAACATCGTCTATCATAGCGACCCTCTGCACAAAACCAACGATGAACTCAAATACACCATGTTGCCATCAGTCATCGTTGGAAAGGCTCGATAGAAGACTGTCATTAGTTCTGGAGTACATGTTTAGACTCTGACCAGGCTCTAATACGAACACTCATTTGCCTGGGCCTCACTGGACACAGAAAAACCACACTAAGAAGATCAATTAGAATTGACTTCTGACGAGAAAACCAAAAGTAGATTCCAGGAACAATAGAGGCCACATTTAGGTAGTTCTGAAAACGAAGGATGATGGTCCAATTTTAGCGATAAGCTTGATTAATATTTTAGCTAACATCTGGACATTGGACGTTATCTCATCTGACTAATCACAATCACTGATCGTCCCAATATATAAGAAGGGGTCAAAATCATCCTGTAACAACCATAGAGGGATTAGTTTAAATGATATAGTATCTAAAATACGAGCCTCGATAATTATCAGACACCTAACTAACTAAGACTCGTGAACTGCAAACACGAGAAAATCAAGCTGGCTTCAGACCTGGTTGTGGTTGCATCGAGCACACATTCACCATTCTTCAGGTTCTAGAACACAGGCATACTTATCGGCGTCCGCCAATGGTGGTCTTTCTTGACTTAAAGCAGCACTTGATTCCGTAGACCGCGAGATTCTGTGGCAGTGTCTGTCATTGAAAGGCGTACCTCAGAATTACATAAGCCTTGTGAAGGCTCTTTATCCGGACACTACCAGTCGTATCCGAACTGATGGTGAACTGTCATCTAATTTTGCAACCTCAAGTGGTATCGGACAGGGCTGTCCACTATCTTCATTTCTATTTAATTTCATCACAGACCTATTGCTAGAAAACGAAATAATAGTATCCTGTTTTACAATAGATGCTAAGAGTTGTTAAATCTCAAAACAAATCGGAATTCAACAACAAAAATCTTGAAACACTGTAAGCAAAACGTTTGGTGCACTTATTAAAAGTATATGAAAGTAAACCTAGATTAAATCTAGGTTTGACTATGATAGTTACACTTCACTAACAATTTACTAATCAGTTGAGTAGGCAGAGTCATAAGATAAAAATGTAAAAAGACACAGTTGGACAAGATATATGTATATATGTCTTATTAAATCATATGATACAAACTTTCGTTATCACTGTAGTCTTTTTGTCAGACTAATACAATGTGAAGTGTATTATCGTAATTCGGAAAAATACATATATTCCAAATCATAATCACGTTGAAAACACACCCAGGTGAACTATACACAGCTGAGAATAAAAATATTATCTTCAAATAGACAAACTTAGTTAGATAGCTTCCGATGAAGCTATGTGGATAGTTAAGAAAGATCTAGGTGATGTAATTGAAATTTACAACAAAAATACTGTCAAAAAAGGAGTATTAATATATGGTAAATGATGAAAATATTTATACATATGGTTCAAGATTTTAATGAAGACCTGGAACACTAAATGAATACATGTAAACAATCTATCAATCATCAATACAGTATTAAAAAGATTAAAATAGTTGTAGTACCAAAAGAAAATAAGAAACATTATAAGCATCAAGAGTATGATTTGAAAAGACAGAAGGAAACAAAAACACGTATAAAGAAATAATAAGATTCCATGTCTCGAGGAAACAAAAACTGAATACAGTTTGTGACCGATTCTGAGGCATTCCACTTAGTCTTCAATCAATAATTGCGGTTACTGGGACGATTATTATTATTATTATTATTATTATTATTATTATTATTATTATTATTATTATTATTATTATTATTATTATTATTTGAACACATAAATATTGGTACAAAAGGGGCACCGAATACATAGCCCCCCCCCATAAGTCAATTGTTTTGTGTGTGGGCTTTCACATAGCAACTATCTACAACCAACCTAGATTATGTTTAATTTTTGTTAAACCCTTTTATTAACTTAACAATGTTAGTAAAAAAGTAACAATTCGCATATTTATTTGTACTGTTATGATCCTAGATCACATATGATAGACCCTAGCTAAAATGTTGATTGCTTAAATATCACCCGATGACTCATCCACCTCCCCCCATGTATATCTATACTCAAATCCTATTATTAACTTTAGCTCGGCTTTGCTGTGCCCTAATGAGACTTGACCATAAATTTGCGACTAGATTTGCTCGCATACACATATTCGCCTTTTTGCTTCAAATTCGCTTGAAGTGCTTATAGCTTTATGATCTTCACTGCAGTTATCGCTTCTCAGTGCCTTCTGATTTCAAACACCGTTTAGATTTATATTATAACGGCTGTCAAGGTGGATTGATTAGCGAAGCGAAGCCACTACAGTCATACTGCCCAGGTGCTCAGATCGAACCAGGTGATTTTCTTAAAGGGTCACACCCCGAGCCCTTGACCTAGAGGTCTAATCCATGCATACCGAACATGCTTGCATTGTTACTTAGAGTGATCAGAAGACTCTGCATTTTGTCAGCGTCTTCACTAAATACAATTATGTCATCGGTATATTCTAGGTCAACAAATGAATCTCCCGGTAGAAGTTCAACCCCTGGAGAGTCAGATGAGGAAAGTGTCGTCTCTAGAGGTAAGTCAACGACAAAGTTAAAGAAGAATGGAGAGAGTAGACAGCCCTGACGAACACCACTTGAGGTAATCAATTCTGATGACAGTTCGCCGTAAGCTCTCACTCGACCAGTTGTGTTCGAGTAGAGAGCCTTTATAAGGTTAATGTACTTCTTTGGTACTCCTTCCAGTGACAAACACTGCCACAGAACCTCACGACTAATGACTTTATAGATTGATATCATGCCTAGTTTCTTCTAACCTTCTACACTATCTAACATTGTCCGTTGTTCTTAACAGTACGGAATTCAGTTTGTATATACATCCAAAACACACAGTCGTAAGAAAACATTTCAGTGACTTAAAGATCAATAGAAAACAAAAGGGCTATACACGTGATCAATGAGGTCAAGGTTGTTAATTAGACCTCTTCTTTCTCTCTCCACATCACCACATTGCCAAAGCATGCCGAAAAATGCGGCAAAACAAAAACACAATAATCATTGAATTGTAAAATTATTTACCTTCATTGTGGCTGACACGACGTCGTATATCTTTGGATTCTGGATTTAAATGTTCTAGATAGGTTGTAGAGCCTGAGAAAACAGGAAATATTAAAATAAGCACTATATATATATATATATATATATATATATATATATATATATATATATATATATATATATATATATATATATATATATATATATATATATATATATGTCAGTGAAAAAGGTAAAATGATAGATGCGAGGGAATACGTGGAAAAGGTGATCTGTTTATTGAATGCTTGTTATTGACGTCCCAGATCCATCCTATAATCTCAAACTACTTTTACCCTTTAACGTGAACAATAGGGAAAGGTATTGAAGGTAAGAGCCCTTAAGAGTGTGCATAGAATATCAGTCAGTCAGCTACAACGTAGGACCAGGCACATATGTGCATCGGTCCAAGTTGCCATACCTCACCACATTAGTATAACAAGATGAACACCAGATTCATAGAAGTAGTTAATTCAATTGTGGTAATATATAAAAGAAAGATTGCATATAAGGATATAGTACAGGAAGATAGAATTAGTTCGTGGAAAGAAAGATATGAAGTGATTTTATCTCTTAGTTTAAGGGAAGACAGGGAGTGTATACACCTACGCCATTGTGATCGATTCTGAGCCATGTCACCAACACTCTCCAACGATAGTCATGCGAACCCTAATCAAGTAGACTGCATCTAACAACATGGCTCAGACTAGAGGTTAGTGACTTCAAGCACTGATGCCACGTTTTGGTTTGGCCGCCCCTAACTTTCTTCCAACCATCTCCAATACCGGTTAGCATTGCACGTCGTGGTAATCGGTGTTCGGGCATACGTAACACGTGGCCCAACCATCTTAGTCGATGAAGATTCATAACCTCATCAGCTGGCTTACCATCATTTCCTAATACCTTGCATCTAACCTCACTATTACTTACCCGGTGATCCCAGCAGATACGAGTATTATTTCTAAGATATCTGTGATCAGATACTAGTAACTTACGAATATCCTCTACTCTTAATGGCCATGTTTTGCTGCCGTAAATTAAAACAGAACGGACTGCCGCGCAGTATACTCGTCCTTTTATTGACAGATGGATATCACACTTTCGCCTTAGGTGACGTAGGGTGGCAAAAGCCAAACGATCTTTTCGAATCCATGCTGAGATTTCGTCAGACACCAACCCATTTAGGCTGGTCAGACTTCCAACATAAGTGAAGTTGTCAACGCGTTCGACTACTTCACTCCTTTTATCTTTAGTTCAGGTGTTGACGCAGACCAGTCCTGAAGCAACAACTTGCATTTCGAGGGAGAAAAGCGCATTCCAAACATTTTGGCATTGTTGCTTAGTGCTACCAAAAGACTCTATATCTTATCAGCGTCTTTACCAAACAGGACTATTTCATCTAAGTCGATAAGTGGACCTCCTGGTACGACATCAATGCCCGAAAATTCAGTCCACAACAGCGTTATTTCCATCAGTACGTCTATGATGAGATTAAGTAGAAACGAAGATAGTAGACAGCCCTGTCCGATACCACTTGAGGTTGCAAAATTAGATGACAGTTCACCATCAGTTCGGATACGACTGGTAGTGTCCGGATAAAGAGCCTTCACAAGGCTTATGTAATTCTGAGGTACGCCTTTCAATGACAGACACTGCCACAGAATCTCGCGGTCTACGGAATCAAGTGCTGCTTTAAGTCAAGAAAGACCACCATTGGCGGACGCCGATAAGTATGCCTGTGTTCTAGAACCTGAAGAATGGTGAATGTGTGCTCGATGCAACCACAACCAGGTCTGAAGCCAGCTTAATTTTCTCGTGTTTGCAGTTCACGAGTCTTAGTTAGTTAGGTGTCTGATAATTATCGAGGCTCGTATTTTAGATACTATATCATTTAAACTAATCCCTCTATGGTTGTTACAGGATGATTCTGACCCCTTCTTATATATTGGGACGATCAGTGATTGTGACCAGTCAGATGAGATAACGTCCAATTTCCAGATGTTAGCTAAAATATTAATCAAGCTTATCGCTAAAATTGGACCACCATCCTTTAAGACCTCTGGAGCCAATCCATCTGGACCGGCTGCCCTTCCTCGTTTCAGATTATCTATAGCCTTTTGAAATTCAGCTAGAGTTGGGGAACCTACTTCAATGTTCCATTCACACTGTCTGCAAATGGAGGGTAGTTGTAGAGTAGCTGAAAGCCAGTTGAACTGTTATAGAATATCAGACGTATTTATGATGCTTTGTATGACTGGTCTCATACAAGCCTCTAGAACATACCAAATACAGTAACATTTGTAACTATCCGATCGAAACGTGACACGACACTGCATGTTGAACTCGGAACGATGACTTCGGTCTCGCGCGCGAACGCTTAGCCTCTGAACCAATGAGCCGGCATCCAACGGTGTTAATGTCTAATTTCAGTCAATCTACGATAATGCGCGACTATCTCCCCTTGTCTTCAGTGTGTAACTTCTTCACAACTAGAAATCCAGGAAATCTATCTTGGAGCCAGTCACTAGTGATTATTATCAGAATGGGGGGTTCGAGTCCCGTGTGTGGAATCATGGATGAGCACTGCTGAGGAGTCCCACGCTGGGACAAAACGACCGTCCAGTGCTTCCAGGTTTTCAATGGTGGTCTAGCTCGACTCATAAATTCAACTATTAGAACACAGAATGTTTATACTATTCAATCAGTTAAACGCAATGTAGAGTCTGGCACATGTGTACATTAGTTCAAATTGTTATACACTCATTAGTACAAGATGAAATTATAAGAATAAATCTCATGATAGTCGAGGTTGTAGTAGCATTGGTGGTAAGAGATTAGGTAATATGGAGTCAGTGAAATATAAAAAAATTTGTAAAGTAATTTAGAGACTCAGGTTTTCAAGGAAGACAGAGAATAAATGTGCCTGAGCCACTGTGAATGGTTTTGAGTCATTATTTCACATGAAGTCTTTGCCTAGGTGTCTAGAATTATGCGGACCCTAAACCAGGTATTATGAATCTACCTATATGGTTCCGTTCAGCTCAACAGTCAGCATGCTCATGAATAGATGTCTTATCTTGTATTTGGGCGCTTCTTTATACCACTAAAAATGTGCACACTTCTGTTCACAAACTCTTCTAGTCGTATCAGTTAACTCGACATTTAGTTGAGGCTGTTTCTTAGGATTAAAAATTCCTATAAATTAAAAATACATTTAAACCAGTTCACAAGACACAACACCCAAGAAAAAGAATCAAACTTTCGCCGCATCATCTTCTGAACTGAAAAACTTTCTTAGGAAATACAAGGCATACATATACACGTATATATATATACGTGAATTTTTTAATCGCACTAACAATCCTCTTATAAACAATTTAAAACAATAAATCTTAAAAGTATGTAATTTACATGAAATACTTACCCTTGACTTGTTCTGACCGATTGCTGGATGTATTTAACATTGTGTTTGTTACTGAATTTCTACGACATTCATCTATTGAAGTGTTAGACTTAGATGATGATGGCAACTGTGGAGTTTTATCTGAATTAGGTGCTAATGAAGTAGTAAATGTATTGGTTGCTGAAACATTTGAATGTGACATTGGTGACTGAAAATGTCCATTTGTTAATGATTCCTCTCCATTGTTATTATTATTAGTAGTAGTAGTAATAGTAGCAGTGGTCGTATTATTTGACGTGACATTACTTGGTACAGAACACGTTTGATTTAATAATAAAGAATTTGAAGATTCTTGTTGAAAGAAAGAATTATTTGATGTTGTAGAAGCGGCAGCTAAAACAGACTGTCGTACAGTTGTACCATGAGGTAAATGATGAGATAATTGTTGAGTATACGTTGGATAAGATCGGAATCGATTAGTTTCATCTACTAGAGATGAATAAGTATGCCCATTAGGAGTGTACATATCAGGATCACCTATAACAACAAAAATTAAGATAAATAAAATGTACATCTGTAGATCATTGCCACTACATAAATACAAGTACTATCATTGAAATGATAATTGGAAATGACGAAATTTCTCACTGAATACAAAAGGGATAAGTAGGTTTTTTCAACCGAATAAATTCTGATTAAAAAACAACTATAAGCTATTGGACATAAATCGAATCCGTACAAATCTTATCCTTGTGTGTAATGTATTAGTAAAAAAGTTAATTTATCCGAGTATATAGATTTAGATTAAATCAACCATGAAAGATTGTATCAGGAAGAAGCAAAAATCTATAGACGTACGTCAGTAATTTAATTTATTATATGCATACAGTGATTGATTAATGTCAACCACACGGAGTTGGATATATTCATATTCGATTATTAACTAGGTAGTAAAGCAAATCAGATAGAACATTGTACTTTTCAGGTAGATTACGAAATCAGTGGTTGATGTATAAGTAAATATATAGTCTTCACTTTCTCTACATAAAACTGTGCTAGTTCCTGTCCTGCTGTAACGACTAATAATTTTTTTCAGTCATAACAAACACTCATATATTAGTAGCAGTACATGTATTTTATCCAATTACAATAGATTGATGGTTGGTATAACTTTTAGCATAACACTAACCACGTTATTAACTAAAAACGTGTTAAGATTACACGAATGATTAAAAATTACTCAATAACAGTTGTAGAAATCACGATTTATTCTAAACAGTTTACACAGTATTCCATGACAGACTATATATAGATAACGAATAAACTGCTTAAATTCACGTTCGGTTTCTTTTACACACAACTTTTAAGTTCCTGATTGGAAAAGTGTGTTTTAATAGCATTTGTGTTTCAACAATGTAGTGTCTTTTTCCAGTTGATCGATACCTATTCCACACCCCATTGATGAAAATCATATATTGACCGAAATTAGATGATAAGAGACAACAGACGAAAACTCCTGTAACCACGTTATTAATAAGTCTACATTGCAAAGCAACATTTATTGCCCCCAAATGCCTTGGTACAGTCGAGGGTAAGGAGAGTCAGCTCTCTCTTCAAATGCTACCACATGGCCACGTCCATACAGTCACTGTCAGGGAAGTCCTACTCATTGCTTTCTCACACCAGGGGTGTTGTTTACGAAATTGAGAGGACAAAAAGCGAATGTCTAGCACTTTAACCGGGTCGGTGGATAAGGCGGATTCACTTAGGGGAGTTGGAAAATCCTGATTCCAAACCAATGGTGCACACGTGCTCCAGGATTCTGAAGGGACAAATGTCGTATGAACGAATTATTAGTCACCGGCTACCATGGGACTGCAACTTCTAAAATTGTCCCTCTATCTTGTGGATTAGACTTCTAGGTCAACGGCTCGGGGTGTGGCCCTTTAAGAAAATCACCTGGTTCGATCTGAGCACCTGGGCAGTATCCCAGCCCTCACACAAACCAAATGATTTGTGTGGCGCACATATATTTGGTGCCTCGTACCAATGTTTGTGTTTAAATAAATAAATAAAAGATTTTTATTTAAATACTCATTCCTGTTATACAATAACTGATTATTTATAGAAAAGGACTAACTGCACACAAACTTCTTGATACTACTAGCCCAAATACAGCTTGATATATACACAAAAAATTTCGTTGCATTGAGATTGATAAGTCTTCACCATTTGAGACTACTTTTACACTTCAACTTGAACAATAGAGAAAAAGTACTGAATGTAAGAGCCTTTAAGAGTGTGTACAGAATACCGGATGTATTCATAATGTTTTGTATGACCTTGGTCTCATACAAGCTTTTAGAACATACCAAATTTAGTAGCAACATTTGTAATTATCCGATCGAAATGTGACACATAATTCACTTGGTATTGTTTACTTGAATCTTCCCATTGATGTTTAGGACTCCAATCGTTCAGTCTCTTATTGGCATATGTACATACTATGCGCACTGCCTCGATATTGCCTTAATTTACAAGCAGGTAAATCCAGATGAGTCTCAAAAAGAATGGAGCGCGTGTCCTGGATTTCGCTGGTAGCCACTATCTGTCATAGTTTATGGCACATAATTCTTCATTTTTCTGGATGTTTCTGAGAAGTTCCTATTCAATACTGATTGGACAAAACATTTTGATCTTTGCTGGGGTTTTATAGCTTTGTTGAGAGATATTTATCTTGTTTGTCTTGTTACTCAACCCAGCTACTTCGAGAGTCAAATAATCTACGTTTTGACCGTGCAAATAGCAAAATCATTCCACCAAAGCCCATAGGGTGTAGATGATCTTTTTAAAAGGAAGAAAAGCACATTTTCTCTGAGTTGCTTTCACTGTTTTGGAAAGCGTGACGAAGAACACTTTGTGAACCTTAACCAAAGTTAGGTGGTCACAATTTGCTGTCATTCACTCTGAGATATTATGTAGAGAATTTTCAAAGCGAGGAAAGTTATAATACCGAACGGTTGAGTTTTTTGTCATACCCTAAATGTCATTACGCTACAGTAATTTTACCCAAGTGTATTTGTGACTTAGTTTTAGGTTATTAACTCTAAATTGTAGGTTATATGTACGAATCTAATGCTACTTAAGATGCTTTAGGCATTTAAATGGTGCATACTCAGTCATCACACAAAGATACATAAGAAGTGAACATCAATTCTGAGCCGCATTCTTCCGAAAGACAAGAATTTCTTGACGAACCGATGAGACGACCAATGGATTTTGGCGCGAAACTCAGTCATTCATACATTTCATTAACATTTTGGCATGATAGTTGATGACATTTCGTGATGAAAATCTCAATCTTAATTTTTAACCCTAACTCTGTCTTAATTCCGCCCATAACCTATAACTCCAGCAATTGGGGTGACGTTTCTCAAGGTCACTTTCAAAGGTTGTCCATAAGTCAATCCTGTTCATTTTTCCTTTCCATATGGTTTATGATCCGGATGACCTGCTTGAATATCCGGGCTACCTGTTCCTGCCATCTAGATATTTCAACAAGTTTTATGTTTCATTGTTTGTTTTAACAGATCATTATGTCAATTAATTGTATAACCTACTCAGGTGTGTTTTTGAAAAGTCTACGACCTTTCGTTGTACAAGTTACAAAAATTTACAATCGGAGACATCGTGATGGCTGGCAGTGTAATTGAAAAGAATGAATATTATTCAGATGTCGACTTCTGAAATGCTAATATCTAACTGGCGATCAATCAATATTTATCGTCAATATCGATCAAGAAATAAGAAACGAAAACTCGCTGAAATACTTTGTGCTGATAATTCTATATTGTACTAAAAATATAATATTGAATAAAGTTAGTAAAAATAAATCAATAATGATAATAATGCTTATTCCAGTATCTTTTATTGATTTCCTTTCGCTCTTTTATGTGTTAGTAGGAAACCTGGGTAGTAATTTTAACGGATGCGCTCAGTGCAAAGATTTATATCGATGAATATATTTGTTGGAAGATTAGCGATTGGACACAGTACTAAGATTAGAGTAAAGGGAATAATTCTCTAATTCATAACAAGACAATTGAGCCACGAATGTGTTATGGATAGAATTGAATTAGTCTCAGATAAAAAATGTCAACACTCAAAGGTAAAGACTTTAGTTAACCATTATGTCAGGACTAGTAGATTAATTCACAAATAACGGGTGAATAGTAAGAGTGAAAAAAAAGTGGTTATTTAAAATAAAACCAAATGTGGATACTTGGTAAAGGTGTTAATTGTGAACAAGATAAAAAACAACTAATTATTCGGTGAATAAGAGTGTAGACATACACATGCGAACATCAAGTTGTTAGCGTACACACACACACATAAAAAAACAATGAAACGTAAAATTGGAGCACAAGTGTTCCTATAAAGTGACGACAATACAGTAAATAGATCTGTTATAAATGCTGGAGAAGACTATAAAAAGATACATATAAATAGAACAGAATTACGTAATTATATTTTTAAACTTATTTGAGAAATATGGTTACTAATTAGATAGAGTATCCAGATATAATGAATATCAAATAATTAGAATATTTGGTTGACTCAGTTTAATAGTGCAGAATCGGGAAAATAAATCGAAATAAGACTAGAATGAACAACGTTAAAACCTGCTGCAAATATATGTGTGTGTGTTGGTTCAAGGCTTTCACACTTCATTTTAGCGCGCACACACACACACAGAGAGAGCGAGGAAGTCAATATCAAACACTCAGTTTAGGGAATACAACACAGTCAAGGAAATCAACAAGATAAAACGTAGAGAAAAAGGAATATTGATATTAACCACAGAAAAAATAGACACTGATAACATAGATTGAGAAAGAGTGAGATCAGTAAATGAAACGTATGGAACATTGAAACTCGATGCTTAAAGAAGGATAGAAATAGTATGCACCTGTGACGTACCTACAGGCTGTTATATCACCTAAGACATTTAACTGCAGGATACGATCACTTTGTGAACTCATTAGGATGTCTACATATCAGCAGTGACTTCATAAAGTAATGGGATATCTCGGTCTAGTCAACCCCAATTTTTATATCCTAAGCTAATTCGTGTAGAACACAAACGAATAAACGGTATCTAGATATGAGAATGATTTATAGTCACCATATAGTAGTGCATAGTGTGCAATTATCGTAACCAATGGCTAGAGACTGTGTGATATGGGTCGAAATCGGTGACAATTGTGTAGATGCATTCACTCTTTGGTTCCACTTAGATCTTAAGTTTCAGGATCTTATATCTTATTTTCGTTTTCTATGACTACTGATACTGTTACTATTTTTACTAGTGGAATTTGTGTTGAAATAATTTTATCTAACTACGACAATGTAGTATGACAACATGAGCCGAAGCACAAATATGTCTGGTTTTATAATGTATATAACTTTAATCATTTGTAAAAGAATGGAAAAGAACATTTTCATAATTAATGAATAATGAACATTCCTCTGGACTGTTGTCATGTTTCTATAACATTTTTAAAATCAGATTTTAAAAAAGGCAAAAGTTTGACTATAGCCAGTAAATGCCTGTTTTAAAAAATGGAATATAAATGTGGAAATTTGTCTTCACAAGACAATTTAATAATTAACGGGTTGTTTTTTTTCTTTCATAAAATCTATATTAAAACTTACTTTTTACAACACCTAATATAGAGTTCGCAACGTTATTTGTAACAGGGTAAACATTTTGTTCAACTGATAATGAACCATTCTCGGACATTGGAAGGCCAGAAACTTGAAGTGGAATTCTGAGTTGTGAACAACTGGGAGCCGATGAGTCTTTAGCAGTGTGGGCTGATGAAGAGTCAGAATATGAACAAGACAGCGAAGATGTTGCAGCAGATAAAGGTAATCCACCTAGTTGAATCTGTTGTATAGGTTGATGATTACGAGCTTCTAAACCAGCCAGGAAAGTAGATAATGCTGTCGTGGATGTAGAACTCATTGGGTTAAGCATTGTAGATGCTAAATGTGAAACAGAAGTTAGCACCTGTTGTGCATTGTTACATGTTGACGATTCAGATTGCATTTGAACACAATTTTCTTCAGGTTCTACACCTGGGGATATAGCTTCCAATATTGGGGCACTTGTGGGAATAGATTCAATCAAAGGAGATGTAGATGGTAGAATAGGAGTCATAGTTGGTTGGTTATTTGAAACTCTTGGCATAATTACAGGACAGTCACTTGGTACGAGCAGATAAAGTTGTCGTGTAGATCCATCAGAAGACTGACCAAGTAAAGTTTGCTAAATCCAAAGAACCAAACTACATAGTTAGCAGACTATCGTGACAGTTATTGAAGGATACGAAAGCCATATATTTGAGAATTATCTGATAGTATTACATCACACGCAACTCAGATTAAAACAATCTAAAATCTCCATTATTATTGTTATTTATAATAAAAAATACTGAATCAAAAACATCTATTTACCAAGAGTGAATGATAAACATTAATGTCATAACGAACGTAAACTTTGGTCAAGTTCACATAAAAACTCAAATTGTTACGGAGCTTTTATGGGGAAAAATCTAAAACGATGTTTCATGAATAACGTCAAAATATGTTTGAAAGTTTAGTATTTTGACCGGAGTGAAAAAAAATTAACAATAGTTAAACTGGAATAAAACTTTTACCTGTCTTACTGAAGAACAAGTACTATTGCACTCCATTGCAAGATTTAAAGTTGAATGGCTTATAAGTAACTCAAATCCAGCATTAATAGTGCACTTTCAGACCATCGAATAAGGTTATGTCGAGATTAGGGATAAGGTACTCGGTAAACATGGAAAATAGACTGATGGGGTAGTGTTACGTTTGCCCAACGAGTGGCTACCTCAATGAGTGATGTCTAGTGTAGAATTAGGCTGGGAGAAGGCTGGGGGAGGTCGAAGATGTGGCACCAGTCTATGAAGCCAATGAAAATTGGACTGACTCAGGTAGGTAGGTGCGACCTATCTGGTTAGGGTACACGCGATTACCGTAACAAGTGGTTAGAGAATTCAGGTGATATAGTTCAAAATCGTTCGCAACTGTGCACATGTATTGACTTCTTGTCTTCTTTCGGAACATGAGTCCCGAAATCTCCTCACACCTTATTTCTTTTTCTATACTAAATATTTTCTACTAATACTGCTGATACTGTTGCTACTCCCACCACTCTGGGTTGTCTCAAAATAATTTTATCTCGCTGTGTCAATGTGGTATGACAACTAGAATTGATACACACATGTGTAAGAGGTTCTACGTTGCGTATGATAGATGATAGTGAATTCAACTGAAATATGAGACTAGAAAAGAAGTCATAATCCGTTTTGCGCTATAATACTAACTAAATGATAAACAGTAATGACCATGTACCAATATCATTTCTGGTCAATCTATATTCCAAAACAACTAAAATTTGGTGAGCAATAAATTAGCAACTAGACCACAAAATGTACCCTAACTGAAAGACGAAGAAACTAAGCTCAATACTAAGAAAACTTAAGAGATGTTCTCAAACTATAACAAAACGAATATTCAATGAAAATTGATTGTCAGAAGTGTATGAAACAACGTCTAGTTAAACTTGAGCAATGATAATATTTGATTGAAAATTTTTTAAAAGAACTCTATGCTTAGATCGAAGTATGAAGTGGTAACGTGGCATTACAGTGACATTTAGATATTTCTATATAATATATTCTTGATTATATAAGAGACGAACTTACCCGAGCTGCTGAGGACATGAATTCTCCACTTGCTACAAGCTGTTGTAAATCAGAAGGACTAATTAAAGAACCTGGTGCAGGTTGTAAAGATATGAATGCAGTTGATTGAATAGGTGGTGATGGATGAGTATTATGATTTACTGCTACTGATTCTGAATGTAAAGGCTGTTCTAAAACGGTTGGAAGATTTTGTGGGACCGGAGTCATTGGTAGAAAAGATGGAGTGGATGCAGCAGGTAAAAGATAGGAAGGTGAAGCAACTTGCCTGACAGAACACGAAGAAGTTAATTTTGTTTCAGTTTGAAGAGGGAAAACTGACGTTAGAGGCAGTTCAATAGATGTGGTTGGACTGGATATGGAGCATTGTTTCTGAGTTTCACGAATAAAAGCCGCTAAACCTGTGAAAAATATGTAGAATTTAGTAGTAACCTCTTTATGAGAGCTATGAGTGTTTAAAACAAACCTAATGAATATCATTTATGACACTGAAATAAAAACTTCATTTGGTAGGAACCACCCATTTGCCCGAGAATAATTATTATACTACCAACTCAGTCAGTAAGTATTACACTTGGTAACTCCACCCACTCTACAGTTACCATAACATTGAATGTGTTACTAAAGATTTTTAAGCTCGAGTTTTTTCGACTCAACAGTTCTTTAGATGATTTTGGATCATTGACTAACTTTCATAAACATTTTTCGAAACTTGAGGATAAATGGAAAACGGTCATTATCAGTAGGATAACATCCAAAATCAGGATATGGGGTAGTCAAAGTGAACAGGTTATGTGAACTAATATCCAAGTACTTTTTCTACAAAACTGTGATGTTTAGCTCTATTGGATGGATGTCATAAGGTACTCGAAACAATAATGCCTGGAAGCCAACGTAGTGTTATTTTTACAAAAGTACAGATGACGGCTTCCATATTAATAGAAGAAACCAATCCTAACAAACTAAACGTGAACGATATTGCTACCATAAAAATGAATCTGTATTTATCTATTTTCTTAAGCACAAACATTAACATAAAGGGGCACAACAATATATGTACGCCATACAAATCATTGAGATTGTGTGTGGCCTGGGATACTCGCCAGAAGCACGAATGGAAGCAGCTCGGCTACTTAGGGAGCCACTCCTCTAGCAATCTAATCAAAAAAGCAATGAAACAACGTTGGGAGATGCAGTCCCATGGTAGCCGGTGACAAACAACAGTTTCATACACCTTTTGTTGCCTCGGCATCCTGAAACCCATGTGCACCATCGGTTTGGAATCAGGGTTTTCTAACTCCTTGAGGTGGATCACTCGTCTACACCCACCCAGTTTAAAAGCCGAACATCCTGTTTTCGTCCTCTCAATTCCTTAAGCAACATACCTCCTCACTTGATAATGCAGTCTGGAGGACTCCTCTGACAATGGCCAATAAATGCGTGGTCACATGGGGACACTTGTGGTGGGGGCTCTCCCTACCCTCATCCATCTGGGGTATTTGTAGAATCTTGAAGAGTAACTTAAAAGAAGGTATAAGTCAATGTACAATGCTTGTTGGGGTACGTCATACAGTGAGGTATATCCGTTACCAAGTCTTTTAACCAGTCAGTCAGTCAGTCAGTAACAACGTACAACTTCGTACGTACGTACATCAGTTCAAGTTGCCATACCACATTAGCACAGAGATGCAGTTATCGAGTCAAGTCCCGTAGTGTTACATGTAGTAAAATTATAAGCTGAAATCAGAAAAATTAGGGTTTGAAGATGTTATTCAAGGAGTATAATCCAGTGAAATAAATTTGGAAAGAGAAAAAATATGAAGAATTCAGAAGATTAGAATTTGGGAGAACACAAACAGTGGATGCACCTGCGACATTGCAAACGATTTTGAGCCAATGTCGTTCAACGTCTCTAACCATCGGTTGCTATCATCTCGCGGTCCCCAACCAGGTAGTCTACACCTACCAATATGACTCAGTCCACTTGTCAGTGACTTAATGCACTTGTGCCATGTTTTGGTTTGACCGCCCCTAGCTTTCTTCCAATCTAGTCCTATACAACAAAACATCGCACATCAAGGCAGTCGATGGTTGGGCATACGTAACACATGTCCCAGCCACCTCAACTGATGAAGTTTCACTACTTCATCAATTGATTTGTCATCCTTACCTAGTACCCGTTTCCTAACAACTGCATTACTTACTCGGTAGTTCCAGGATATACGAGCAATGTTTCGAAGACATCTATGATCGAATACTAGTAACCTACGAATATCCTCTACTCTTACCGGCTATGTTTCACTGCCATTAAGTAGAACGGAACGAACTGCTGAGCAGTAAACACGTCCTTTGGTTGGTAGACGGATATCTCGCCTACGCCATAAATGATGCAAGTTGGCAAAAGCAAGCTAGTCGAGCCTTCTGTATCCCTGTTGAGATTTCGTCACACACTAGACCACAAGGGTTGATGAGACTTCCAAGATAAGTGAAGCGATCGACACGCTCAATAACTTCACTCCCTATCATTAGTTCGGGTGTCAATGCAGCACAATCCTGAAGCAACATTTTGCATTTCGAGAGGGAGAATCGCATCCCGAACATGCTTGCATTGTTGCTTAGAGTGATCAGAAGATTCTGCATTTTGTCAGCGTCTTCACTAAATACAACTATGTCATCGGCATATTATAAGTCAACCAGTGAATCTCCTGGTAGAAGTTCAACCCCTGGAAAGTCAGATGAGGAAAGTGTTATCTTCAAAAGTACGTCGACGACAAAGTTGAACAAGAATGGAGAGAGTGGACAGCCCTGATGAACACCACTTGAGGTAGTCAATTCTGATGACAGTTCGCCATAAGCTCTCACTCGACCAGTTGTGTTCGAGTAGAGAGCCTTTATAAGGTTAATGTACTTCTTTGGTACTCCTTTCAGTGACAAACACTCCCATAGAACCTTACGATCAACAGAGTCGAATGCCGCCTTAAGGTCGAGAAATACCACGATTGTGGGGCGTCTGAATGTGTGTCTGTGTTCTAGGACCTGACGTAGTGTGAATATCTGATCTATACAATCACGTGCAGGTCGAAAACCAGCCTGATTTTCTCTAGTCTGTACTTCACGAGCTTTAGTTAGGCGTCGAAGTATTATTGAAGCTAATATTTCAGACACTATATTTGTCAAACTGATTCCTCTGTGATTGTCACAAGAGGACTTTTGTCCTTTCATATAGACTGGCACAATCAGTGATTGAGACCAGTCAGATGGGATTGCGTCCAGTCCCCAAATTCTACCTAAGACCTCAGTTAATCTCACTGCTAACACTGAACCACCATCCTTAAAAACCTCAGGAGTAAACCTGTCATGGCCTGCTGCTTTCCCTCGCTTCAGATTTCCTATGGCTTTTTCAACTTCGTAAAGGGACGGAGGACTTACATTAACTTGCCATTCAGGTTGACTGGAGATCGTGGGAAACCGAAGTGTGGCTGAAGGCCAGTTGAACTAATCCCTAAGGTGTTCTGCCCAACGATCCAATCTCCTGGATTGAGAATGTATAATATGTCCATCTTTCTCTGAGTGTTTCGCTAACAGTCGGTTTCCTAATACCGGTTTCCTTAACAAGTCTGAACAATTGTCTGCTATTACCTATTGCCGCTGCCTTTTCCATCTCTCTTGCTTCCGCTACCCACCACTGTTCACGATAAATGCGTAGACTTCTTATCAGCTTGCGCTTAAGTTGACTCCGCTCTTCATTATGTTCAGAGCCAGGTGGAATGAGTTTCCGAGCATCTATTAGTGCGATAGATGCTACTGAGATCCAGTGTTTCCCCCTAACCTTGTGGTTTACCTTACTAACAAATATCACTGCTGTTTCCACAGCTTTTCGAATATCGCTCCATGCTGCCTCGGGGTGGGAATCACATACATGGCTGCCTAACTGTTTTCCTAGTTGTTCCTGAAATATACTCTTAGCTTGACTATCATTAAGTAGGACCCTAAGAGGTTTCCTTGCAGCATCTTTCCTACGTCCAGTAAGACGCAGGTAAATACGCGCCCGCACTAGAACATGATCTGAATCTAAGCATGTGCTCCAAAATGAGCGACAGTCTTCTATCGAGCTCCTCCATAGGTGGCTGATAGCGATGTGATCTATCTGGGTCCAACGTTGGGACGAATTATGGGGGTCGCCATGTTAAAAGATGTTTCTCCTTATGCTTAAAGTTAGTATTTGCAAGGAACAGGCGGTTATCTGAGCATAGCTGCAACAGACGGTCGCCATTATCTGTTCTTTGGGTCACAACACTATAAGATCCACCTATGTGTCTTCCCTTTCTGCTTAGTTTACCTACTTGAGCATTAGTCACTGGCCACTATTACTACATCAGAGCGCCTAGCTTTTCGGTGAAGGTCGGAGAGCTTCCTATAAAACTCATCTTTTACATCATCTGAGCTGCAGTCAGTGGGAGAATAGACAGAGACGATGAAGAGGCAACGACGAGTGTCCCGATCTTTTCGGATTCTTACTGTTCCGTTCAATCGGACAGCGCACAAACGACTGTCTACTGGGATCCACTCTAAGAGAGCTAGTTCTGCCCTAGGACTCAATGCCATACCTACGCTGGCGAGGCCACGGGAAGCAGAATCAGGGCTTCCAGATAGACGAAGTGTGAATCGAGTTGGTTCTTTATTTTTGCATGGTGAGGTCAAATGAATGACGCTACTCGGATCCTGTATGCGCGTTTCGGAGATGCAGTACACACCGATGGCGCGGGATTCTAAAGTCCTAGCTAAGAAAGCCTGCTGTCCTATTTGGCACAGTGTTCGGACGTTAAAAGCTCCTACGTGTAGTTTAGAGCGTGGTTTCAGGAGACCAGGAATAACGTTCCACGTACTCGAATCGTTTGCCCTAGCGGTGCGAGGTGATGAAGAGACGTGAGGACGGTTAGTCATGGAGATAAGAGAGGTATTAGGAGGTGTAGAAAGGATTTGAATGTGACCAACTTGGTCTCGTGTGCTGTTACGGGTGTGAGGACTGATATCACTTCCCGGCTGCCCACACCGTGGAAGGGTATTTCTTGAGGAACCTGAAACGGAAATTGGATTAGTGTTGGTCTTAACGACCTGGGAGCGTGACCGCAGAGTCCAAGGGACAACTGCTTGAGGCCGGTCGCGCACGGCCTTTCCGTGGAAGGTTTTTAATCTGTTAGCTCCGTTCTTCAAAGGGTCTTACCACCGGAGACGGAAATCCGTGAGGTAAGGTGAGGTGTGACATTTTTAGGGTCGACCTTTTCTAACCCCACCCCTCCTTGTGGGAAGGCAGCATCGCTGTCATGCTGGTTGTCTGAGGGAAATACCTTATTGTTGTCACACCCCTCTACAGTCAGCAGTACGACTTTGCCCTCAGACCTTGAGTTGCTGTTTTTAGTCTTACCGTTCACCAATCGACCTGCCTGGCATGGTAGAACCTACAGGAACATATGTCCCAGTCAATATAGCTCGGTTGAGTCATCACGATAGGCATGCCCGACCACCGCGTCAAGGTAGCAGCTTCGGTTGGGGTCTTTTAACCAAGCATATAACTGATAATATAATAAGTATCTCATTCCAAATGACTGTTATTATTTTTGTGATGTAAACATATAACACTGAGCTACATATTAAAACATCTGTTTAAAACAGATTAACTTTGCTCACTGGTCAGCCGGATCAAATCTTTCTCAAGACAAAACACCTATTGTCTATTGCAAGGTCAAAGAGAATTTACAGACTTAAAAAGTTGACGAGTTTGTGAGACAATCTAAGACTAATAAAGCTTACCGATGAACAAAAATTATCTTAGGATTGTAACAGTAATTCAGAAGTACATAAATCTGTTAGAAAATACCATTACTTTGGGACAACGGAGCAAACAGTAGTTGTTATTTGTTTGAATCAAGGTTAACGCCTTTGTGGACTATCGTTTACAAAATAGTAAATAAGAAATGCATTGATACAAGAGATTTCCACAAAGTAACATGAGGAATTCCTTACTTTGAACGTTCAACACAGCTCTAGTCACTGGGGTCGATTCATTTAATAAGGACTGTGATGATGAAGTATTTAAAGCACCAATTACTAAAGGTGGTGAACCATCTAAAGAGAATTGTTGATTTCTATCAATATTTCCTTGAATAGTAGATGCTAATAAATCAGTATGATGTTGGACAGTAAGTGTAGTTTCAGCATTTTCTTTTGCATTATTTACACTTTCATTATTATTAACAACCGAAGCACGTGCACGCCATTCTTTTTCAATTAGGCTACTAGCAGTTGCTAAAGTTACTAGACCTGAAGATTCTTGAATATCATTTACGGACATTGTAGTTACAGCAGTTGACAACGCTACAGCGGCCATAGCAGCAACAGGTCCTAAATGTCCAGGAGAAAGAAATGAAATCAGTGATGAACCGGAAGATGGAGTTGACATAAAAGAAGAGGAAGAAGATGAAGAATCACTATCATTGATAGTTGGTCCAGGGACAGACATTGAAAAGCATAATTCACCATTTGAGATTTGATTATTTTCAACGGCAGATCGATTATCATTAGCTGTCTGAGAATTTCTGTTTGTCATAGTTCGAAGTAGACGAGGTAAAACACTCATGGCGTTTGTTTCACATGTGTTTATTACAGTTAGACCATCTGAATCTGGTGGTTGTGACTGTCGTGAAATTTTAATCTAAAAAGTAAAAGGCATCGAATATTTAATAGGAACAACGGAAGCTATCACCAAATCCAGATCCATATTGGAAAACATCACATGAAAAAATGATATATTTAGAGAGGAATAACAATCTGATGAAAAATCTAATGGGTGTACCTACTCAAATGAATAGTATGACTAATAATCAATGAATTATTTTATTTTAACACATAGATATTGGTACAAGGATGCACCAAATACATATACGCCACACAGATCTCATTTGATATGTGTGAGGGCTGTGATACTGCTAGGGTGCTCAAACCGAAGCAGGTGGTTTTCCTAGGGAGCCACACCCAGAGCCCTCAACATGAAGGTCTGATCCACAAGGCAGTGGAGCGTCGTAAGGAGGTGCAGTCCCATGGTAGCCGGTGACCAACGAATGGTTCATACGCCATTTGTTCCTTCAGGATACTGGAGCCCACGTGCACCATTGGTTTGGGATGAAGGTTTTCCAACTCCCCTAGATAAATCCACCATGTCTACCAACCCGGTTAAACCCTGAGTCGGACATTCGCTTTTCGTCCTCCCAATTTCGTAAACAACACCCCCGACACGAGAAGGCGATGAGTAGGACTTCCCTGGCAGAGGCTATATACGCTTGGCCATGTGAGAGCATTTGGAGAGGAAGGGAGGACTCTCCCCACTCTCGGCCGTACCAGGGCATTTGGGGGCTAGCCTAGCACAAACGCTAACTCGAATCACACCATATCGGAACAGAGATGACACTAATAAGATGAGTAGCAAAAGATTCGAAATAATAGTAGTATAAACAATAATAAACATCAAGAACATGGTTAAAAACGATAACTATGAAGAAATATGGGAACTCAAGATCTAAAGAAAAATAAAGAGTGCATGTATGTGTCACTGCAATAGTTTCTAACTCATGCCATCCAATGTATTCAACGAATAATCAGTTATTGCCCGGATCACAACAAGATAGCCCGCATTTACCAACAGGTTTTAGTTCAACAGTCCATGATTTTATAAACTGGTCTGAAATCTTTTGAATTTATTCTAACCTACTTCAGATGTCATCACGCCTCCAGATGGGCGGCTGTATATATAGAATTGTTCATAAAAATCAGTAGGCCAATGTACAGCCTGAGACAATAATGACTAGCTAGAAATTCCCTAATCGAACCACATGATCAAATATTTGGTGAGAAACAAATGAAGCAAAAAATAATTAAAATAACCCATCGAGTCATTGAATACGAAAAAGAGAACTCAGCAAAGAAAATTTTCTTTTCGACGAAATCATTTACTTAAGCTGTACATTCGTATATATAGTTATTTAGAAAATATATGTCTATAGGAAGATAGAAAAGATTGCATCACAAAAATGGATTCGAGAATAAATAACAAATGAGGTTACGTACCAATCAACTAATCTACCCTCATGTCTATAAGATGAATTGTTAAAAGACTTTGATTTATTCTAGATTTCCTAAAAAGGAACTGATGTAGCTACCGAAGAATCAGTTTTGTCAGTTTTAAGATAACAAACAACAACGATGAATATGAACAGATTTCTGACGCACTACCGGAGAGCATTTACTAAGACCCCAGTGGTATAACTGCAGATAAATATCCAAATGCAGTGATCCATAAAGAGCACCGTCAGACGAATTTACATAATGGAACGATATTGAGTCTGTAATAATTGTACATAAATAGGGAAAATAACGGTTGGTTCGCCTTACTCATTGAACTATTTGGAACCATCCACTGTTAACCAGTGATCTTAATTTAACACGATATTTATCTAGTTAACTGAACTGTTAGAAATCGAGAGTGGTTATTTCTATTTTCATAAACCATTTTTGGAGGTTTGAGTACTCAGCTATAAAATACGAAATTTTGCAACCGGGAAGTGATAACCGCCCTCATACCTCTAACAGCACCCAAGACCACTGTAATCATGATCAACCTCCCACTTAAATTCCTGTTATTTCTCCTACATCGACTTTCAACCCTAAACTTCCTCTTTCGGCTTCCTCCTTAAGTGTCACCATAGCCAACGATTCTAGTGCTCAAAACTCTGTCCCAGGTCTACTGAAACCTCGCTCCAAACTACACATTGGAGCTTTCAACGTATGCACCCTATGTCAAATCGGTCAGCAGGCTTCCTTGGCTAAAACCCTAGAGTCTCTTTCCATTGATGTATGCTGTGTCTCCGAAACACGCATACAGGATTCCAGTGTGGTCATTCACTTGACCTCACCTCGGCAAAACGGAGAGCCAACGAGATACACCCTACGTGTATCTGGTGATCCGATGGCCAGTTCTCGTGGACTGCAGGTGTAGGCATAGCACTAAGCATGAGGGCGGAACAAGCACTGTTAGAGTGGATCCCCGTCAACAGTCGTCTATGTGCTGTTCGGCTAAACGGCTCCGTAAGAACTCGGAAGGATAGGGACACGTCGTTGCCTTTTCATCGTTTCTGCCTACGCTCCCACTGACTGCAGCTCAGATGATGTGAAAGATGAATTTTACAGAAAGCTTTCTGAACTTCTTCAGAAAGCTAAACGCTCAGACATAGTACTCGTAGGGGGTGACTTTAATGCTCAGATAGGTAGCTTAAACCAAACAGAAAGGCATTTAGGTGGATATTTTAACATTCCGGCACAGCGAACAGATAATGATGACCGTCTGTTGCAACTGTGCTCAGACAATCGCTTATTTTTAGCAAAAACAAATTTCAAGCATAAGGAGAGACATCGTCTGACATGGCGACCCCCTACACCAAACCAACGATGGACTCAAATAGACCATATTGCCATCAGTCATCGTTGGAGAGGGTCGGTAGAAGATTGTCGCTCATTCTGGAGTACCTGCTTGGACTCCGACCACGCCCTAATACGGGCACGCATCTGCTTGCGCCTCACCGGACGCAAAAAAGCCACATTAAGACCCATTAGAACTGAGTTGAGTAACGAGAAAACCAAAAATAGGTTCCAAGAACAACTGAGTTCACAATTAGGTAGTTCTGAAGACGAGGCTGACCCAGATGTTGCTTGGAAGGGCATACAATCAGCTGTGGAAACAGCAGTGACATCTATTAGTGACTTAAACCACAGAGTTGCAAGGAACCAGTGGATTTCTTCAAGGTCTGTCACACTGATGGATTCTCGTAAACTCGTCCCATCAGGTTCTGAACATGATGAAGAGCGTAAACAAATCAGATTTAGGTTGAGAAAAAGTCTAAGGAAAGACCGTGAGCAGTGGTGGGTAACGAAAGCAAAAGAGATGGAAAAGGCGGCGACTATAGGGAACACAAGACAGCTTTACAGACTAATAAAAGAAACTGGAATTAATAAGTCAAGTGTAAGTGAGATTATTTCGGAAAAAGATGATACTCTCATCTGCTCCCAGTCCAGACGTTTAGAACGATGGGCGGAACATTTTACAGAACAGTTCAGCTGGCCTTCAGCTACTCTACAACTACCCTCCATTTCCAGACGGCGTGAATGGAACATTGAAGTAGGTCCCCCAACTCTCGCTGAAGTTCAAAAGGCTATAGTTAATCTGAAACGAGGAAGGGCAGCTGGTCCAGATGGACTGGCTCCAGAGGTCTTTAAGGATGGTGGTTCAATTTTAGCGATTAGGTTAACTAATATTTTAGCTAAAATCTGGGAGTTAGACTTTATCCCATCTGACTGGTCGCAATCACTTATCGTCCCAATATATAAGAAAGGGTCAAAATCATCCTGTGACAACCACAGAAGGATTAGTTTAACTAATATAATATCTAAAATACTAGCCTCGATAATTATCAGACACCTAACTAAGACTCGTGAACTGCAAACACGAGAGAATCAAGCTGGCTTCAGACCTAGTCGTGGCTGCATCGACCACATATTCACCATTCGTCAGATTCTAGAACACAGGCATACTTATCGGCGTCCGACAATGGTGGTCTTTCTCGACTTAAAAGCAGCATTCGACTCTGTAGACCGCGAGGTTCTGTGTCAGTGTCCGTCATTGAAAGGTGTACCTCAGAGTTACATAAACCTTGTGAAGGCTCTTTACTCGAACACTACTAGTCGAGTCAGAGCTTCGGTGGCTTGGACATGTTCTACGAATGTCGTCTCAGAGAATTTCACGCCGTGCATTATTTGCCGACTCTGGAACTGGTTGGAAAAAGCGGAGAGGTGGTCAGTGCATGACATGGTGTCGTAGTATGAAAGAAAGCTGCAAAGGACTGGTTTCTATCGGTCCTTCACGGCTCCCTGGTTGGGGTCTGAGAGATGATGCAACATAGTGGCTAGAGACGTTATCAGATATGGCCCAGAATAGAAGCCAGTGGCGTTCCTGCTGTAACCTTCTTTTACTTTCTTCATAAAAAGTGGTTGTGTCTTCCTTACCTGAAAGATTTCTTCCGATTATACCTTTCCGTTCCCCCATTATTGCTATTATTATTATTACACTACCTTACACCAATCTGTTCGTTATTGTTCCCCTATTCTTTCACGCTCCTTACTTTTTTTTCTTTCTTGTCTTTAAATTCTCATTGTTTTGTGTGGCGCATATATATATTGGTGCTGTCTTGTACCAATATTTATGTGTTCAAATAAATAAATAAATAAATAAGAGCTTATGGCGAAGTGTCATTTACTTTTGCAACCTCAAGTGGTGTCCGTCAAGGATGTCCACTTTCCCCATTTTTGTTTAACTTCATCATAGACCTATTGATGGAAATAACTTTCTCATCGACTGAGTTCTAGGGTATTGGTCTCCATCCAGGAGGTCCACTTATCGACTCAGAATACGCAGATGACATAGTCCTGTTTGGTGAAGACTGATAAAATGCAGTCTTCTGGTAGCACTGAGCAACAATGCCAGGATGTTTGGAATGCGCTTCTCTCCCTCGAAATGAAAGTTGTTGCTTCAGGACTGGTCTGCGTCAACACCTGAACTAAGGATAGGGAGTGAAGTAGTCGAACGCGTTGACAACTTCACTTATGTTGGAAGTCTGATCAGCCCTAATGGGTTGGTATCTGACGAAATCTCAGCACGGATTCGAAAAGCTCGTTTGGCTTTTGCCAACTTACGTCACCTGTGGCGAAGGCGAGATATCCATCTGTCAATAAAAGGACGAGTATACTGCGCGGCAGTCCGTTCTGTTTTAATTTACGGCAGCGAAACATGGCCATTAAGAGTAGAAGACACTCGTAAGCTATTAGTATTTGACCACAGATGCCTTAGAAATATTGCTGACATCTGCTGGGATCACCGGGTAAGTAATAGTGAGGTTAGATGCAAGGTATTAGGAAATGATGGTAAACCAGTTGATGAGGTTATGAATCTTCATCGACTAAGATGGTTGGGCCACGTGTTACGTATGCCCGAACACCGATTACCACGACGTGCAATGCTAACCGGTATTGGAGATGGTTGGAAGAAAGTTAGGGGCGGCCAAACCAAAACGTGGCATCAGTGCTTGAAGTCACTAACCTCTAGTCTGAGCCATATTGTTAGATGCAGTCTACTTGATTGGGGTTCGCATGACTATCGTTGGAGAGTGTTGGTGACATGGCTCAGAATCGATCACAATGGCGTAGGTGTATACACTCCCTGTCTTCCCTTAAACTAAGAGATTAAAATCACTTCATATCTTTCTTTCTACAAACCAATTCTTTCTTCTTGTACTATATCTCTATATGCAATCTTTCTTTTATATATTACCACCTTTGACCTAACCACTGCTATGAATCCGGTGTTCATCTTGTTGTGCTGATGCGGTATGGCAACCTGGACCGATGTACATATGTGCCTGGTTCTACGTTGTAGCTGACTGACTGACTGACTGCTTATTAGGTCAGAAATATATTAACACAAAATGAGCTCAAAAAGTAATTAATATATGGTTGGAATAAAATCAAAATTAACTCACAGCAGCAAGTTTTACAGCATCATCCATGAGTTCCCCTTGATCCCGTTTGAGTTTTCCATGGCTACATGACAAGTAAAACGTACTAAATTAAGTTTGAATGTAAGGACATACAAATGAAACCTTATATCATAGATTTTAGGTTGTTTATACAACTGACCGATTATTTAAAAAGCCACACAAACTTACCTACTCTAGGTGATTTGAACCTGATGTTACAGAAAAACCTATCGTTGTAGTCAGTCATGCCATAAATATTTACTTACCAAAGGCGAGTAAGTCTTGTTTCTTGGTATTACAATAAAGAATTATTACTAGATATTTAGGGAGAAAATCGAGTAATACATAACATCAAAATACTTTATAGTTAAGTTTTCCAACCCGGACAAAACAAGTGGGACGAAACATTACTTCTTGAGTAAATGATTAGGGGATAACAAAACTTGTGAAAATATTCCAACTGTTACTACAGAACGGGAAACCGTGTTTCACCGGTCACAATGAGACAGCACTTCTGTACTCTATTTTGAAGCTTATCCCCAGTCGGTAAGTGAACAAGTTTGTTATTAGTCTCGCATGCAGGACCGTGAATAAACACTGCTGAGGAGTCCCACACTAAGACGAAACGGCCCTCCAGTGCTCCCAGGTTTTCAACAGTGGTTTTTACATTAATCGGTTCACGATCTCACTAAGAACAAGTGTGTTTACAGATTTTATATTTCACGGCGATTTTACTTCCAAATTAATTTGGTCATTTGATGAGAGTATAAACTAGTCACACATTACCTAAATTAGTTCGGCAATATACAATCCAGTACGATCAGCAAGAACACGAGAACTCGTATTATGATCTTAAATTCAGAAACAATTGTCACACTAAAAATGTAGCTCAGGTTGAACAAATGCCAAAAAGCAAAAACTTGAACTCCATTGATGAGACTGGAAGTAGCTGCAAGTCAGCAAACAAGACAACAATCAGAGCTACGCTACAAAAATTCACATAATAGAAGTATATCTTAAGATATAAAATGAACAGTGCATGATTTTGTTGGTTTACACTAGTAAATACACGGATAGACTGATGGAAAACCAAGAGTTTAAGTTGAGATAGCTCAAGGTACCAGACCTTGAAGATCTGTATTTGTTATGTGACAAATATAAGTTTGCGTTTAACAGACCAAGTTGTATATATCTTAAAAATCGAAAATATACCATTGCGTTTAATATTGGAAATAAATTACAACTGGCAAACCCAACTTAAGCCCTAAAACATGTGAGAAATGTGTTTCAAAATACCATAAGCAGGTTTTTCGCTGGACAAAAACATAGTCTCTATAAAAGGCAGACCACTGGACATCTAAAAGTTGGACCATTACTAATGTTACAATGAACAAGCACTTCTTTTATAACTCTGTAATCTTTTTAGTATGAAGTATGGTCTATAAAAACATTTGGTCCCTCGGAAAACTCTCAGAAAGTTACCGAGTGACCATTCAATCCGTAAACACGGAGGTTACTAATTAATGATTAACCATCAACTCAATTGTGCTTCATGTCTGACGATATACTACTGTACGTACCTTCTAGGTAAAGTGACTGCTGGTTCTAAGGCGCTACCTCGAGTTGAGTAAATCTCGCACTGATCCATAGGACCACCAAACAGAGCTTAAACTCCACGGGTACAGCTGTTCACAAACGAAACAAGGTGCGCCAAGGGAGGGAGTAACTTCACAACCAATGAAACAAAAACGAAACGGTTTTCCTTAATTGAGAACTATATATTTATCAGATTCAAGATTAATACATTCAGGACATACTTCTTTGAAGTCACAAACAAGTCCGCGGTCTGTTTGACAATAGATGGTTCAAATTGTTCAAATGGTTGTGGACGGAATACAAGAAGCTTTCGCTTAACGGGCTTCCGTGTCTAGTAGCAATGTATCACCAATACTTCCAGGCAGAAATCTAGGTATATTAACGATAACAGAGGCAAAAAAGGAGTTGGTAAATCATAATAAGATGTTATCCTTAGTCCTTAAGAATATGTCAAGTTTCCTCTTAAAGGACTTCCGAGAAGTCATTTGGACTAGTTCAGCCGACAGCGAATTCCAGCATTTAAAACTCTTGAGGAGTAGAAGTTTTATCTACAGTCCGTTCTGACATGTTATGTCTCCAATTTCTGGATGTTACCCCTTAGGTTTGTATCGGGACTAAGCTTAAGTAGGTGTCTAAGGGGATGCCCAGAAGTGTTAACGATACTGTAAGCCATTAGAAGGTCACCTCTAAGACGCCTATACTCTAATGGGTAAAGATTAAGCGATTGGAGGTGCTCTTCATAAGGTTTGAATTTGAGTCATCGAACTGATTTCGTGGTTCGCCGTTGGATACACACCAGAGTTTCCTTATCTTTTTGGAGCGAGGGAGGAAATACTATGTTTCCGCACTATAAATGGGGACGAACAAAACTGTTGAAGATTATGTGCAAAGTTCTTCCGTAAATGTGCTTCAATGTTACCAGTGTAAGGTTTGCTCCAAAGGCATTTTTGTCAGTTAGCGTAATACTTCAAATCGTAGAGTACCAGGACTCCTAGATCTTTTTCGACCCGGGATACTACTAGAGAGGAGTTTCTTAAGTTGTAACTGTAGTCTGCAAAATGATGCAGATGGACTACTTTAACACTTCAAAGTATTAAAGGTAAGGCTGTTATCGTCTGCCCAACTTTGAAGTCGAGTCAGATCCTCCTGAAATGCCTGTGTATCGTCTTGGCTGCGTATCTCTCTCCAAAGTTTCACATCATCAGCAAATAGTAATAAGTCTGACGATATCTGTTGTGGAAGATCATTTATGTAAATTAAAAAGAGGAGAGGTCCTAGTACTGAGCCCTAAGGGAACCCACTAGGACATTCCATAGCCTGAGAAAAAGTAAAGTTAACCCTGACCTTAAAATGCCGATTCTTTAGATATGAAGTGAGCCAGTCAATTGAAGGTGTGCTGATACCCAATTGTTTGGGCTTATTGATAAGACATTGTAGAGGTAAATAAATCCCCAAAATAAATAGCCCAATGAGTTTTCGACATTGGATGCCGACCACATTAGTTTTAATGGAATCACCTAGCTGAAGGCGCCCGGTCATGAATCCGCACCAGATCACTAGTGGTAACGCCGTGTCCAACACCCCCCCCCAATCGATAGCCAGATTAAATCAGACGGTCCTCGATATATTGATGGCCTATCAAATTTATTTTCGAAACTCCTCGCATCAGTATTTGTCTTAAATTGGTGGATACGCTTCATATTAGGTGTTACTGGTTAAAGCGTTGTCAAACCACGAATACCTGTGGCATTTTCAACATATATAGGTGACCGAATCAAAAGCTTTTGAGGAGTCAAGGCAACTGATATCAACATTCTGCTTGCGATCAAAATTGCTTGCCCATCTGTCCACCGCAGTCAGCAGGTTGGTTGTACAAGAGTGACCCTTCCTGAAACCATGCTGTTGGGATGAAAAGTTTAAGAATAGTAAATAGTCATGTATACAATCTTCAGTGAGGTTGAAGAACCGAGGATCTGGTATTATACGAAATTGTGAAGTCGGCAACTTGTTGGAGAAACAGTCAGATACCGTTGCATTTAGACTGGGTATTTACAAACGAAGAATTCCTACTTGACAACCTCTCAAACCTGGCTCCCCTAAGAAAAAGCGGTCATGTCGTCAAAGCATTCAGTTTTATCAACAAAACTGAGCTAAGACATCCTACTAACAACAGGCGCTCAAATTTTGAACAGTTGAATGTGTCAGCTTTACAGGACAATCTACAGCATGTGATCTGGAAAGTTCACACTCAACTTGATATGGATACTTATTGGGATTTCTTACTGCACACCATTTTATGTGCCACAGGGCAGTTTATTCAACAAATGGTCACCAAAATCTATAAGCACCCTACAGTTATCAAGAACTGCACTCCGCCTGCTAAGCCGCAAAAAGCACTGTTGGTCAGAATACAAACGAAATGACAACAACGGCGCGTACAGGCAATACAAACACATAAGAAACATATGCACGAAGGCTATAAGAGAAGACGAACTTCAGAACCAGATAAAGCTTGTGGATAAATTTGCCTCCAATCCAAAAAGCTTATTCTGTTATGCCGCCTCTCTTCGACAAGCCAAAACTGGAGTTCTAATTGCCCGACCAACAACGACGGCGACGCCGCTAACCTTCTGGCTGAACAATACTCTCAGACATTTCAACTAACCCACACTAACAATATTGATAAAGCTTCATCTGCTACTCTACAGGACGTTTAGGAGTAAACCTGAGCGCTGACTTGGTGTACCGGAAACTACAGCACCTGAAAAAGACACTTCTCCTGGTCCGGACATGGTTCATTCTGCTATACTGAGGGAAGCAGCTTCAATCCTGGCAACACCGCTTAGGGTGATGTTCTCACACTTGCTAGGCCGAGGCAAACTACCGAAAATTTGGAAGCTGGCTCACAACACAGATTTTCAAAGGAGGTCGACTCAGCGAACCTTCAAGCTACCGACCGGTGGCTCTTCTCTCCATTCCTTCAAAAATAATGGAGTCCCTGATATGCGGTTGCATATATGACTATTTACTATCTTTAAACTTCTCACCCCAACAGCATGGTTTCAGGAAGGGTCACTCTTGTACAACCAACCTGCTGACTGCGGTGGACAGATGGGCAAGCAATTTTGATCGCAAGCAGAATGTTGATATCAGTTGCCTTGACTCCTCAAAAGCTTTTTTGGGTCAACCATCGATGTTCTATCATTAAACTCAAACGATTGTATATCAAGACTTCATCATTTGTTTGACTGCATAACTAAGCAATCGAGGCTTTAACGTCAAGAGTGACTTCACTTTCTCTCACGCTACAGTATTTATGCCAGACAAACGTTTCTTGGTAGCGATCATTACATTGTCATATCTAGCGTTAATATAAATATTACAACCGGTAGACGCAAAACTGTAGCATTTATGTGCTACAGTTTCTGCGAATTCGTAGGAACTATCACAAGGTTGATTGGAAGAACTTACAAATTTACCTAAGAAGTACTGATTGGGGAACCTTATTTACTGTAAACAATACCGACACACTAACTAATATATTCTATCACAAAATCAATAATACCTCTAACAAAATCGCACCTTTAGAATATCGGAAACCTACGTTTTCTAAAGATCTGTATATACCGGTCTTCAAAGACATAGTACTCTATTCCACAACCCTAATGACTTTCCTCCTTAGTTTCGATAACAATAATATTTGCCCAGACAGAGGCAAGAAGTGCACAAAAAACAGTCGCGCAGGAAAAAACGTGTCATTGAGCCTAACAATGACTTCTCAGTTATCAAACTCCTACAAAATAGACTTAAACGTTCTAAATCAGAAGGAGGAAACGTACTTATTAAGGACAAACAAGTATATGAAGATCCTAGACTTGTTACAGAACAATTCAGTGAACACTTTTGTTCCCCATTAACTAACGAAAAATCATTAAATGAATTAGAACCAATTCCAGTGCCTTCCTGCGAAATTACTAATGTAAACTACAATGTACAGAATATTTCTAAGGCAATTATCACACTGAAACACTCTTATACAGATGGACCAGGTGGTATTCTGGCTAGCATGCTAAAATATGGAGGTGATAATATGTGTGTTTTACTCCTCAAACTACTTGCGTTATCACTCTCTACAGTGTGTTACCCTGCCTGCGGGGAAAACTACATATATCATTCACAAAATTAGAACAGGAACTGAATCAAATGTTGAAAATTACCGGCCCATAAACATGACCTCAGTGATATTTAGAGTGATGGAAAAGGTAGTTAAGGCGGAGGTAGTCCAACATCTATTTACTAATACTCTCATCTCAACCTCCCAGTATGGATATCTTAGGTCAAGATCATGCGATACATGCCTAGTAGACTACCTGAATGATATGACTCTGAAACGGAACAACGGACTCCTTGTATGAGTTCTATTCTTAGACTTTAAGAAAAGCTTTGATAAAGTCCCACACAAATGGTTTCTCATCAAACTAAAGTCCTTCGGCATAAACAACCCACTATACTCATGGTTTGCTTCGTTCTTAACAGAACGTAAACAAATGGTAAAGTACAATGACCATCTCTCATTACCCAGACCAGAAACTAGTGGAATCATCTAGGGAAGTGTATTAGGTCCACTCTTGTTTCTTATATATATAAACGATATATATAACACCACTAAATTTGGGAGACCATACTTATACGCTGACGATTTCAAAACAGTATACAGCTTTATGCCTGAAACTCTAGGCGAAAGTATATCTCAGATTCAAAATGACGTTATAGCCTTGCTATCTGGAGCGAAAAATAACAATGATCATGTATTTTGGAAGACATCCCTATGATTCACAACTTTACTTAAATAAAAGTAGAGTTTAAACACTCAGATCAGTGCACGATCTAGGTATTACTTACACACCTCGTTTATTATTTCTAAATTTAGACGGTTCATCAGCTTCCTAATGAAAAACTTCACAACAGAGGCCAAGATCACTCTTTGCAAAATATGTATACGATGTTCCCTTGAATATTGCCCTTTTATTTTTCAAACATTATTACCGCAAACAAGATAAGAATAGATGTCCAAAAACTCTTCACATACCGACTGCTAGGATATAACTCCGCTCTCAACTACATAGATAAATGTAGTTATCCCTCCTTAGAACCTTTATCATATCGTCGGCTAGTGAACAATCTAATATTTCTCTACAAAGCAATATATGGACTCACATTTCCAGCCTCCTGCTTAACCATGATCCATAACCCAATCTACAGACTCAGAAACAACGCATATACACTACTTACAGTGAAACACCGAAAGTCATTGAGTTATGAGTTTCTCACAGTACGGCATAGTTTATTACGGAATAGGTTGCCAAAACCCATCTCTTTGACACTTTAACCAAATTCAAAAGGCTAATAACCCTGGTACTAGACTCTAAAAAGCTTCAGCTATTCCTTGAACTCCCGCCCACCAATGAGGCACTTTATTATCAACCGCCTAATATTTAGACGGATCATGAATATAACAGACCCCATTATCATTAATATGAATATAACCAAGTGATAAAACACATAGTTTAACCTCTCACATTTTTCATTAATTATTAGTTATACCGTTATGCTCCTTTTTCTCCCTTTCAGATTCCGAATCACTTTAATGGTTAAAATTGTATTATTCTTCCTAAGTGTCATGTCTTTTTTCTATTAACAATAGATGGATAACTCACTATCCTCATAGATGCTGATCAACTATGGCCGTTCATAAGAAGCTCATAATGTCCTAAAGTCTTGTAAGTCACTCAATGTTTTGTTTCCTCACTCCGAAAATTTTACAATTCCAAACCCTTGCATATTCTTTGATTTGCTGTCTATCCTTATCACTTCTTAACCACAAATAAACTGACCAGTGCTTTTTAATTTCACCACTAGTTATCTTCATAGCAGTATGATATACTATGATGAATATATAACCCATAATACAGAAGCTTTAGCCATCTGATTTTCTCGTAACATGGAACTAGTAGAGAGAGTGTATTCCAAAAGTGAGCTTAACTCAAAGCAATATTCATTCTCACCACAAACCTAACATCACAAGAGGAGGGAGGTTGGCATTACTGACCAGCAAACAGGATGGTGGGGAGATAACTTCGATCCACCAGTGTCTGTAGAGCAGAATATTTTGTTAAATTACTGCTCCTGATGGTCACATGAGATGTCACGAACCAATGGTATTGATGCTGATTTGTTATGCAAAATACCCCTTTAAATCGTGTTTGTGACGTTGAATTAGTTTCATTTTCTACGGAGTAATCCTATTGCAAGCAAAACTAGACAATTTACTAAGAACGTCACTTGTTCATGACCTTAAAACATCAATAAAAATTAGCAGAAATAGCTTCGACGAAAAAGGAAGATAGCAATTTATGTATCAGAATGCTGTTTTCAGTACTATATTTTAAAACTTCACAAAATCCTATACTTTCAGCTTCTTTTTGAACCACTACCATTCATATAATTCTTTGTACATTCATACCAGATTTTTGTTTGTTTTCTTTAACTTATTAAAATGCCCTTGCTTAAAACGTACCTTAATAATAGGAAATTAGACAGAGTAGTCATACCTTGACTATCGCACCACAAATGACTCGATCTCAGTATGCATGAACATTGTATGCTTTGCTTCTCGTCCTGTCTTTTTCTTACCCTTATTCTCAGTCCTCTCAACTTATGCCACTGCAATACATGAAGCGGGTGTCTTCGTCCTGCGCCATCATTAATACCTCAGATGTTCCAAAGGAATTAAAGTTCACAGTTAATAGAAGCTCTCAAATTTACGAGGATTCACTCCCAACTGTCAGTTGCACGTCGCAACACAACCTTCATACAGCCCGCCAACTATCATAATGACAATAAGGACCTTAATAATATTATTTGCATCCATATGTGAGAATTATGATACCCATACTTTCATGATCAGTGTACCTTATAAAATACCAAACAGACTGAGTAGCTCACCACAGTGAAGACCGTATCTTCTGTAACAATTTGATCTTACCGGTAAACTGACATGCCTCATGTAGCAGACTGTTATTTGAGAATAAATTATTATTATTATAGGATGTCTCAGTAGGATCTTTTAGTGTTCATTCCTCAGACCTCTGTTTTCTTAATTTATACAAACTATTTTCTTCGGCAGGTATCCTCTAACTTACTACCTCTCGCTGATGATATGGACCTCAAGAGAAAAGTTTGCAATCAAGGTGATAAACTGGCACTTCTAGAGGATCTGACATGTCTTTAAAGTTGGGCAGACAACAAAGAGTAAAGTAGTCCATCTGAGGCTTGTTGGAGACTACCAACACAACTTAGGCAACTTTTATAAGCAAAGATGGATAGTGTCTACTAGTGGAATTTAAGACGCGCGTTTCGTCCTATTTTGGACTCGTCAGCGGGATGTACCTGCATCACAGAATTGATGTTCACTCAATACGTCCACACAGTATGCACATATGCCAATGACAAACTGATCAATCAATCTTAAACCTTAATGGGGAGATACCAAGTGAATTTAGGTAGCTTTCCTCCAAAAGTATCTCAAGATGGAGAAGATCTAGGAGTGTTGGAACCCTATCATTTGAGGTCCCACGCTAACTGTGGCTAAAAGCGCCTGTCGAGCAAACCTTTCACTGGTAACGTTGAAGCACATTTTTGGCTAGGTCGACGGTAGAATTTTCGCACCAAACTTTCAAAAGTTTCATTCGAAACCCATTTATAGTATGGAGACATAGTATTTACTGCCTCACTAAAAGAATAAGAATATATTGGAGCGTACTGTCATAATTAGAAGGGTTAGAACCATTGTATCAACTAGGAATTCCCAAGACAGTGCAATTTAAGCCACAAACGATGGTATTGCATATCGAATTCGACATCAACTAAGAATCAAGTACAAAACAATCATTAGTTCATGTAAACAGCACGACCGCCACAGCTTCAATTGGAATCTAAATTTCTGTAATCGATTGCACGTCATCTATTTTGTTCTACTATATGTGTGTCAGACTGTCCTCTGGATGTAATCTCTGCATGATCTATAATATACTCATTAGTACTAGATTTGAAAGCCGAAAGTGGAACCGATTCACCTTCATTACTTGGATTGTATTTGATCATTATATCGGTCGTATATGCTTAAATCAGTGGTTTCTGTAATTCGAACCATAGATTTCTGACATGTTTCGCCACGATCCCCGTGACAGTTCGGAGATCATTTTCACGATAACAGGCAACGCCGGCAAACTCCCAACATCTCATATTCGAACGAAGAATCTTTCATTTTATTGGCTTTGATGGAGTCTCTTTCGTTACAGAGTGTTGAACATTTGTAAATTGCAGTAGAAATGTATCTGCTTCCCTCTTCAGTTCATTAAATGTTAAAGCGGCAATAGAGTCAATAGTTGTTTCAATATCCCGACAAACGTTTCTGTCTGGTCATTAGAACAAGGGTATATGGGAGCAGTGGACGGATGCCTGAACCCCAAAACATTCAACCAAGTAGTGACTGCATCAGCAGCAAAATGAGAGCCATTATCAGTTGCTAACGTCATAGGAACCCATCCTCAACGAGTGAATCTCCTGGTAGAAGTTCAACCCCTGGAAAGTCAGATGAGGAAAGTGTTATCTTCAAAAGTACGTCGACGACAAAGTTGAACAAGAATGGAGAGGGTGGACAGCCCTGATGAACACCACTTGAGGTAGTCAATTCTGATGACAGTTCGCCATAAGCTCTCACTCGACCAGTTGTGTTCGAGTAGAGAGCCTTTATAAGGTTAATGTACTTCTTTGGTACTCCTTTCAGTGACAAACACTCCCATAGAACCTTACGATCAACAGAGTCGAATGCCGCCTTAAGGTCGAGAAATACCACGATTGTGGGGCGTCTGAATGTGTGTCTGTGTTCTAGGACCTGACGTAGTGTGAATATCTGATCTATACAATCACGTGCAGGTCGAAAACCAGCCTGATTTTCTCTAGTCTGTACTTCACGAGCTTTAGTTAGGCGTCGAAGTATTATTGAAGCTAATATTTCAGACACTATATTTGTCAAACTGATTCCTCTGTGATTGTCACAAGAGGACTTTTGTCCTTTCATATAGACTGGCACAATCAGTGATTGAGACCAGTCAGATGGGATTGCGTCCAGTCCCCAAATTCTACCTAAGACCTCAGTTAATCTCACTGCTAACACTGAACCACCATCCTTAAAAACCTCAGGAGTAAACCTGTCATGGCCTGCTGCTTTCCCTCGCTTCAGATTTCCTATGGCTTTTTCAACTTCGTAAAGGGACGGAGGACTTACATTAACTTGCCATTCAGGTTGACTGGAGATCGTGGGAAACCGAAGTGTGGCTGAAGGCCAGTTGAACTAATCCCTAAGGTGTTCTGCCCAACGATCCAATCTCCTGGATTGAGAATGTATAATATGTCCATCTTTCTCTGAGTGTTTCGCTAACAGTCGGTTTCCTAATACCGGTTTCCTTAACAAGTCTGAACAATTGTCTGCTATTACCTATTGCCGCTGCCTTTTCCATCTCTCTTGCTTCCGCTACCCACCACTGTTCACGATAAATGCGTAGACTTCTTATCAGCTTGCGCTTAAGTTGACTCCGCTCTTCATTATGTTCAGAGCCAGGTGGAATGAGTTTCCGAGCATCTATTAGTGCGATAGATGCTACTGAGATCCAGTGTTTCCCCCTAACCTTGTGGTTTACCTTACTAACAGATATCACTGCTGTTTCCACAGCTTTTCGAATATCGCTCCATGCTGCCTCGGGGTGGGAATCACATACATGGCTGCCTAACTGTTTTCCTAGTTGTTCCTGAAATATACTCTTAGCTTGACTATCATTAAGTAGGACCCTAAGAGGTTTCCTTGCAGCATCTTTCCTACGTCCAGTAAGACGCAGGTAAATACGCGCCCGCACTAGAGCATGATCTGAATCTAAGCATGTGCTCCAAAATGAGCGACAGTCTTCTATCGAGCTCCTCCATAGGTGGCTGATAGCGATGTGATCTATCTGGGTCCAACGTTGGGACGAATTATGGGGGTCGCCATGTTAAAAGATGTTTCTCCTTATGCTTAAAGTTAGTATTTGCAAGGAACAGGCGGTTATCTGAGCATAGCTGCAACAGACGGTCGCCATTATCTGTTCTTTGGGTCACAACACTATAAGATCCACCTATGTGTCTTCCCTTTCTGCTTAGTTTACCTACTTGAGCATTAGTCACTGGCCACTATTACTACATCAGAGCGCCTAGCTTTTCGGTGAAGGTCGGAGAGCTTCCTATAAAACTCATCTTTTACATCATCTGAGCTGCAGTCAGTGGGAGAATAGACAGAGACGATGAAGAGGCAACGACGAGTGTCCCGATCTTTTCGGATTCTTACTGTTCCGTTCAATCGGACAGCGCACAAACGACTGTCTACTGGGATCCACTCTAAGAGAGCTAGTTCTGCCCTAGGACTCAATGCCATACCTACGCTGGCGAGGCCACGGGAAGCAGAATCAGGGCTTCCAGATAGACGAAGTGTGAATCGAGTTGGTTCTTTATTTTTGCATGGTGAGGTCAAATGAATGACGCTACTCGGATCCTGTATGCGCGTTTCGGAGATGCAGTACACACCGATGGCGCGGGATTCTAAAGTCCTAGCTAAGAAAGCCTGCTGTCCTATTTGGCACAGTGTTCGGACGTTAAAAGCTCCTACGTGTAGTTTAGAGCGTGGTTTCAGGAGACCAGGAATAACGTTCCACGTACTCGAATCGTTTGCCCTAGCGGTGCGAGGTGATGAAGAGACGTGAGGACGGTTAGTCATGGAGATAAGAGAGGTATTAGGAGGTGTAGAAAGGATTTGAATGTGACCAACTTGGTCTCGTGTGCTGTTACGGGTGTGAGGACTGATATCACTTCCCGGCTGCCCACACCGTGGAAGGGTATTTCTTGAGGAACCTGAAACGGAAATTGGATTAGTGTTGGTCTTAACGACCTGGGAGCGTGACCGCAGAGTCCAAGGGACAACTGCTTGAGGCCGGCCATGCACAGCACTCACGTGGAATGCTTCTGTTAGCTGTCTTCCATGCACTGCTCTATGGTTTGGTCCGTCTTGTGAATTCCGGATGTTGTAGACGATCTTCTTAAATACACCATGGTGTTTCCATAACGTCATTTTATCCATATTATCGATAGCCTTCTCACAGTCCATGAAAATAATGTACAGTGATGGGTTCCATGCAATTGATTGCTCAATGATGATCCGTAATGTCGCGATTTAGTCTGTGCACGGCCGATCCTTACGGAATCCAGCCTGTCGATCTCGAAGTTTAGCGTCTACTGAGTCTTTCGTACGTCTCAGTAACACTCGTCTGAAAACTTTTCCTGGCACTGACAGCTGTGTGACGCCTCTGTAGTTCTGACATTTGCTCAGATCTCCTTTCTTTAGTATCTTGATGAGATATCCTTCTTTACAGTCTGTCAGTGGCAGTTGCTCTTCCTTCCAAATCATCCGAATAGAATATGGAGCATGTTTACATTTACTTCTATGTTTGACTTTAGTGCTTCCGCTGTTATATTGTCACGTCCTTCTGGGTTCCCGCTATTGATTTGCACGATGGCCATCCAGATCTCTTCCGCTGTTGGTGGAGTGACATATAAAGGAAGGTTTGTAGGTGCTACGTCCTTGGAGTCCTTCATGTATAAACAACAATTCTCTAAGAATAAGGATAGTATCTAGCTATAATTTACTATTTTTCTCTTTTACCGTTAAATATGCCTTGGCTCATACCTGAAGGAACCGGTGATCCAATGTTATTAGATACAGAAGCCCCTTAAACGAAAGCTTCTATTCCATACAGAACAATTTGAATCTATGATTTCAAATAACTATGAAATTAACTAAGATTAGTGCAGCCAAGTGAGTAGACTATAAAAATTGGGTGATACCAAAGACCATCAACTGGACTTCAACATCAAGAAATGGCCTCAGATAAATCAATCAGTTTTGTCCAGGCTCGTTGCAGAAATTTTGATATTGAATGTTGCGAGTGATGACCTTGGATGATCCAGAAATGTCTCAATATGTGGAATTTACGTGGTTCGCATGGTTTCTGATTGCATGGGTGTCTTTTATACTGTTGGCCACGTTTTACTTTATATTATGCTTTTGTATCAAGTCTTTGCGATATGTAGGGAGTCAAGTGGCAAACTATGTACGTAATACAAAGTCTAAATCGGATTGACAGTTATATAGCTGTAATACCTAATAAGAAATTGCTTTAACTGTCGTTATTTCAAAACTTATGTATGTTTTTCAGTTTCCTTGAGTTCGGCATATTTGATGCGTCTCCACTGCTTCTTTACGATTTGCTTTATATGTTGGCATATGATTTCAAAACCGATCGAATACTGTGTTGTACATATTTACGTAAAACAAGTTCGACTTGAAATGTTCTGTGAAATACTACACAAAATACTAAATTCAATGATTTTCTTGTTAATTTTTGATTTAAACTCATTGGGACAGGTGATATATTCGAGTATATATACTCGACCAGAAATGTTATAACATTTCTGGTCACATATATGCGAGGTACCCCTCTTCTATGAGCGTGGACACTATGCTTAAGATCTTGTTACCAATTCAGGTAGCTTTTCTTGAGGAGGCCAAATTCCACATATATCTCCAGATACTCGGTTTGCAATCACAATCGAAAACCAAAGGTTGTACTGACCGGTTTAAACATGACCCGAGTCTCGGAGCTAAATATTGTGTAGCCCTGTTCCTCACGTAGTTGACCCTAGGTCTTACATGCCATTTAGACCCATCTTTTGTGTTGGCGATGTCCTATTCTGTTGATCAGACCAATACTAACGTCAAAAAACTCCTGGGTATAGATATCAAGTGCCAACTGTTGATCTAGCAAAACTTCCCTGTTAATCTACCGGGTCCTGGATGGTTATAGATGTCTTTAGCATTCTTTGAAATTATGGTTCCGTAAAATACGTGTGGAATATTGTATAACTGAAATATATTTCGTACTGATACATGGATGACATACGGACTAGTCACTATACAAGAAGACAGCTTTCACTTTCTGCATGATCTCTAGATCCCAGTTTAGTGAAATCTTATTTTCCATAGTAATACACGCTTCTTAAAAGACCACTAAAAGTCTGATAAGATAAAATCTAATGTCTCATCTAATGATTGATGAATTGGTATTTGTGCATTAGTTTAAGTTCACGTTTATTTAATAGATTTCATCGATAATTAGTTATTCACAGTAATTGATTATCTTTCCGGCTATGTAATGTGGCTTGTGGTGAAATGATAGACATATAATGTCCGTTATGTGCGATTTACTGCGATTTGATGCAGTCTGTTAGTTGTATTGTTATTTGTATCAAGAGTGATCAGAGAAATATACAAAAATTAGTCCTCCGAATGAGGTCCAGGTACAACGTTATCATCATTATCTACTATTGAAGAACGGCACTGTACAGATTTGCACTGAGTTTATGGGTTGAATCATAAAAAATATCATCACAGTAAGAGTTCCCTAAATATATTATTGTCTGTCAACAAATTATGCTTACGACATATGATTATTGGATAGGAACAATATATTTGTAAAGTGATAAGTAGATGGGAGTAATTTGAGCGTTTCTATGGTGGACTCATTAAATGTGAGATGTACAGGCTTCTCAGGTTTTACATAATTATCAAAATCATTATAGAGTTTAAATTTATTTCAGGATAAATCAAGATTTCACGAGAGTATTCCTAGTGTAAACTACATAATCAAAATGGTATTAGGAGTACGTAACTGTATCAAAATCTTTCTAGTTGTTGTATCTTGACGATAAGGTAGAACTATAGTGCTAATGGATGAGGCATCCATTTGTTTCTCAGAGGACCTACTGTTCAGATGGTTGAGCACTTCAGATAATGTAGATAAGTAACTACACCAAAATGATTAGGTTCGAAACTTTTATTGAAGTAAATCAGTTTTTCTGAGTGGTCACATATTGATGATAATTGCTAGTACTAGATGGTGAGTAGTAACACCAACCTGTAAATTTCTATCACTGCTAATT